CGTTGCTCTTCTCATCGCAGTGGCCTGCTTGACGGGGGGTGTTGTCCACATTGTGAACAGTGTCAATGCTGCGTTAGAGCGGGGAACTGGCACCAGCTTCCCCATTTTGGTCTGGGTGCCGCTGGTGGGGAACGTGTCCAAATATCTGACCATTGTGGTCATCTCGCGCCAGGGCCATGTGGAGGTCGCCGTCCGAAACATCTTGAACAGCGTTCTACGCCTCACCCTGTTGGTCACGCCAACTCTGGTCCTCATGGGCTGGTCCCTGGGCCAATCGGTGACGCTGCAGATGGATAATTTCGAGGCGACCATGCTGTTCCTCGCCGCCATGGTCATGAGCCACGTGATTCACGAAGGCCGGGCCAACTACTTTGACGGCCTCATGCTCTGTGGAACGTGAGTATAACCTAGACGTACAACGAGCAATTTTCCACCATTATTAACAAAATCATAGGTACATTATCACGGGAGTCGCCTTCTATGTGTGTCCCAGCGTGAGCACGATTAAGGACGTCGCGGTCGTAAGCACATGATATTGAGTCCTATGCATTATCAACATGATATATGTATATGTGTATATATATAACGCTGGCCAATGTGTCCGAAAGTCCGTGCTCCAAGATAAATCAGCAATCCCAACTACTTAGATAATAAGATTATGATGTTAAGGCAGTCGTCTACCGAACGTAGAAAGCAAGCGTCAAAATCGCATACCTGTCATCACTGTTAGTATATGGAGAACAACGCAATCATTTACCGGAATAACGTACATGGCGACCAGCATGCTCCCGTGAATATAGGTATACTTCCCATCCTGCAGGATGCAGTTCACCAGCAGCACGGAGAAGAAGAGAACCACGGTGTGGAAGGTTTCGAAATATAGCGTCATCGGTGTACCTATGACCCAACCCAGCATGACTAGGAAGGGAATAGCAAACAATCCAATCTGTAGGATACTGCTCACGATCATACTGATGGCGAAGTTGACATCGCCACCACCACCACAGGCAGTAATGACCACTGCCCCTTCACAGCTGTTGCTAATTATGGGAATGAGAATAGTCGCAATGAATGTCTTCGAGATGTTTAGGGTTGCCGCAGTTGCGGGAATGCTGTCCATGATGTTCTTCGTGCAGACAACTATGGCTAGCGAGGACAGAACCAGACTTGTCGTGAGCCAGTTCATGCTGCGCTGTGACTCCCGCGACGAGTTGCTCTCGGTCTCCCCTTGGAGGAACAGATGGCTATGGGTGCCCAGCTGGAAATATAGATACCCACCATAGAGCGCCAATAGAACGGCAGATGTGCCACGTGAAAACGCTACGATCTGGTCCCCAAGGTCAAAAGGAAAAGTGGAATACAGGACTGAAGGCAGAATCAGTCCGACCGAGGTGACCACCATCAACGAGGCGAGCGCGCCGGTGACAGGTTTGTTGAAATGGAGGATGAAGGTATTGTATGAGGCGGCGACGAGACAGCAACCAAGGATGAGAAGGAGATCGGACAAAATGCTCCCAATCATGACTGATTGCGCAAAGTATATTTCGCCACGAATAAGGGCCAAGATGCCGGTCTAGGAAGGTTACAGTCCTGAGATTAGATCCCATCGCTAGCGTCCAGCAGAGGGTTTGAGACTCACCGACAGCTCGACACAGTTACCAAAGGTCGCATTGATCAAGCCCCCCATGAGCTGGCCTAGCGAGTCGGACAGCTCATCGGAGCAATCTGAAACAATGACGGAGAGGGGAATGACGGCGAGGAAGTTGTAGATGGAGACCAGGACGGGGTTCCAGTGTAGCGCGTCCGCCACAAGGCCTAGAGGCAGGAAGCATAGCAACGGTTTGGAGCCAGACTTGGCGACAGCGGCAGAGACTCTCTGCCGGAGGGTACTATGGCGGATGGGAGAGGAGGAAATGACGGGCGAGTCCGGCTCGGGCTCCGATTGCATGACCGGATCGTACTGGTGGGAGTCTTTCGGCAAGGGGGAATCATTGAACTCTGGCCGAGACATGGTGACAGGTGGGACGAAGAGGGAGGGGCGAGACCACCAGGAACGAAGAAGAGCAAAGAGGGTGACAGCTGACGGCGCAAAGTGGCAGGCGGGCTTCCGTGGACGAGAGTTGACCAATTTTAAACCCCGACGATCATGGCTCCAGTCCGACGGTGACGGAGAAGATGACGTGGGTTAAGGGGGGAAAGATGTCGCAGAGCAGGGAAGAGATGGCGAGGCCCCGTGAGAGCGGTGGGCAGTGGAACGGAAGAGGAAGAGGGAAAGAGAGAGAAAAGGACAAGAGACGCAGAGAGAGGAGAGAAGGGGAGAGGCTGAGATGAGTGGAATTCGGATCAGCATCAGAGACAGAACCTGAAGCTGAACCGACGGGAACAATACCGTATGAGACGGTATGGGGGGTGTTCGAGACGGTATGGTAATCGCGGCTGTCATTTTCCGTGACTTTTCTATTTCTGGCCCGACAGGGCTGAAAAGGGAAAAGAAGCCCTTCCCAGTTCCCATCCATCGCGTCCAACTGGTGCAATCTCCACTGATTTTGATTGCCAGTCCACTGCTTCCAACGGGGCCCCTTTAGAAGCCCACCAATCAAGGAATGAGCCTGACTGATAACCGGAAACCTCGGGGCAAGTGATGGGAACGCAACAACACCCCCCTCCCCCCCGACACGCACGAAAGAACTGACTCGGAGAAAGAGGATGGGATCCTCCAGCCTTTCCAACACCCTAGCGGCTTGGCGGCAGCAAATGGATCTGGTCATGCTCTGACTTGAGACACTCCATCCTGCATCTGCTTGTCCGCTCGTCGTCATCCCGTCATCTCCCTGAACTTGTCTGCAAAATCTCTCCCTATCTGTCAGTTCCCGTGAGCGGCTCTTGATGCGCTTCCCTTCCTCCATCCGCGTCTGTTGTCCGAGCGTCTTCGCGACTGCCATTACCGCTCTCCTCTTCCCCTCTCCTCTTTGAACACGATCGTTGGCCGTTATCTCCTCACACCTCGGATTATTAATTAATCGCAGCCTGTCGGTTTTAAGTTCCTCCTCCCAACATTTCCACACCCGTCCACCCGGCGATCGAAGAACTAGTCCCCAGCTTCCCCACGCATTGTTATTGAAGCTTCTGTCAAGGTTTTGGGATATCCACGGGAAGTCCGCTCTCCGTACATCGATGGATGTTTCGCTTTCCCCTTCGTATCTGAAGGCGTTCAGGGCGCTGTCGAAACGGTATCGGAAGCAAGGACATGCTGATGCAGCTGCCGAGCTAGAGACGGTGGTGGAGCAGGTCACCAGTGAGAATAGGGGTGACTCCGGTATCGCGCTGAAGAGATTCGGGGCGCTAGTCCTGGCCTTCCTTGAACGGGGTCAGTGGAACTCTGCCGTAGATGTCGGAACGATTGTGGTCGACGCCCGACGGGCGCAGCTAGGTCCCAACGACCCCATCACCATGGCCGCCGTCCACAACCTGGTTTCCGGGTATTGTGGTCAGGGCCGTTGGGCGGAAGCGATCGATCTGGGTCGCCAGGTCACCGAGGCGCGCCGCAAAGTCTTGGGGGAGGACCACCCCCACACGATGGCTTCCATGTCCAACTTGGCTACCGCATATCGCAAGGAGGGGTATTGGCGACAATCTGAGGCACTGGAAGTTCGTCTGCTGCAGATCAAGACCCGACGATTCGGCCAGGATGACCAGTCCACCCTCACGTCCATGGGCAATCTGGCCAACACGTACACTCACATGGGGCGATATGATGATGCGGAACGATTGGAGAAAAGGGTGGTGGAACAATGTTCACGTGCGATGGGTGAGCACCATGGGTCGACCTTGATGTGGAAGTCCAACCTAGCAGCCACGTATCGCGAGCAGGGTAAATTGGAGGAGGCGTTGAAGTTGGAGTCGGAAGTGATGGACATCCGCATCAAGCGGCTCGGGACCCAGCACCCCTTGACGCTGACATCCATGGCAAACCTTGCAACGATGTACCGGGACCAGGGGCGGTTGGAGGAGGCAGAACACCTGGAGACGCAGGTCGTAGAGATAAGCAAGATCAATCTAGGCGAGCAGCATCCGCAGACGCTGATGTCGATGATCAACTTGGCGTCCACCTACCGGGGCCAGGAACGGATGGACGAGGCCGCCAGTCTTGGGGCACGAGCGGTGGCTGTGATGAAGGCACGCCTGGGCGAGCAGAATCCATTAACCTTGACTGCTATGGCAGATCTCGCCTTGACGTATCAGGGTCAAGGAAAGACGGGTAGCGCCGAAGCGTTGACCGCGCAGGCGCTGCGTTTGATGCAGAAGTATCTCGGAGCACTCCATCCGCACACGCTGACGACCATGGCCAACTTGGGGGCCATCTACCAGTCCCAAGGCCGATGGGATGAAGCCGAGACGCTCATGGAGCAAGCCGTTCGTGGCCGGGAGAAGGTGCTAGGGAAAACACATCCAGACACGCAAGCGTCAATGGAGGACCTGCTGCGCGTGTATCGAGTGTTGGCGGCGGATCGCACGACGGAGATACACATGCGGCATACCCAGTAAAGATGGGCGATCAGTCAGGCGTTGGGAGTCTCATGACAGTATTTTTTTTTGTCTTCTTCGTGGTCTGCTATCTTGGGTCAATGAGTACATGATGATAATGATGATCATTGGGAAGGAGTTTGGGACTGGATCCGTGAATCTCCACAGGCACATATCAGCATTTTGAGTATTTACTTGCTACTTACTTATTACATGAGATGATCACATTGACGTGCATTGGCCCACCCCGGGTCTTTCTGAGTATAATTTCATATGTCCAAGATGAGGGGAATCTACTTCCAGATACAAAATGGGGATGTCTCCCTCGCTTTATGAAGGGGTGGAAAAAAGCATGACTGGGGAGTGTGGCTGAGTCTCTCTTTAAGCAACAGCACTGCCCCCTTGCCAAGACTCAAACTGCTTTTTCATCCTCTTGTTCTTCCAATGCATTCCCAGACACTCACTCATTCAATTCATGCCATTCCCCTGATCCAGACCTCTTAATGGCCGATCGTCTGCATTCTAAGGCCATCAAGCTTCTCACCAAGCTGTCATGAAATCACTGCCTGACAGATCGGTGGATCGCGACCGGTCGGATACTCCTGCATCCACGGTTCCTTGAACTGGTCCACCCAATGGGTCCCTATCTGCTTCTTCCTCACAACTTCACAGCGACTCAACTACTTGAATTAACCGCGGAAACGGGTCCGAGATGGTCGGATCAAGCCCGATATTCTCCAGCAGGTTATGATTTGCTCGTTCCCCGCACGCTGGCAACGTATCTCGCATCACACACGGCACCCCCTCCCCGCTCCCATGGGCACTCAGAGGAAAGCAGCTATATAGTCCCCGGCTTCGACTGAATCTGAGGGGGAGTCAAGCAACTCGGGGAATCCTGCGCTGTTACAGCTGTAATCACAACAATGACAGCCTCCGCGGAAGATGTCGTACCCTTCTCGGTGGAAGGGAAGACGGCCATTGTCACGGGCGCTGGCTCGGGTTAGTTTTCCCTTCTTCCTTTTGTTGGAACACTCTTCTGAAGGTGATAGGGATCAATCTATCATTCGCATCCCTTCTGCTATCCAGGAATTGCAATGTTGTGGTAGCCGACATCGCTCTGCGACCGGAAGCAGAGCAACTCATCGCCAAGTATGAGGCCGCTGACTCCTCCCCGCGAGCAGTTTTCATTCGCACAGACGTCACCTCTTGGGCCGACTTGAAACGCATGTTCGACTTGACCTTGTCCTCGTTCGAAGAGTTTCATATCCTCTGTCCTGGTGCGGGTGTCTACGAGCCCCCGCGGTCGAATTTCTGGCAGCCACCCGGCTCCGCCATGAGCAAAGACAAAGAGGACAGCGACCGATACGCGCTCCTCGACATCAACGTCACGCATCCCATCCGAACTACCCAACTGGCCTTGTCGCATTGGCTGCATCCCACAAGCCCCAACGTAGCTCCTGTCTCTGCGCAGAATCCCCGCCGCGTTATTCACATCTCCTCCGTGGCAGGTCAACTGCCAAACGTTGTGTGTCCCATGTATGGCGCTTCGAAGAGCGCCATTACCGGCTTCGTGCGGTGTTTGGCCCCCCTCGAGCAAGCGATCGGCGTTCGCGTCAATGCAGTGGCCCCCGGTCTTATACGTACCCCACTGTGGGTCGAGAACCAGGAGAAAATGATGCTTATCGACGAGGAGAAAGACGGATGGGCAACGCCCGAAGAAGTCGCATCCGCCATGCTAAGATGCGTGGAAGATAAGGATATCGGGGGAGGAACGATATTGGAAGTTGTTCGCAACTCAACGCGACGTGTCGAGATTCTGAATGACCCAGGTCCCGCTAGGGTGGCTGGGGATGCCTCCATCCCGAGCAAGAACCAACAGGGGGTGGACCAACTCCTGGAATCCCTGAAGCAGAAGGATATATGGGGCCCACAACAGCGGTCGACGTAGTGTGCATACTGCTATCTTTACCTTCATTGAGTAAACATAAGTAGGGAAGGCAGAAGAAATCGTTAAGCCATCAGTGAAGCCGCCTCCCGTTGGATAACATCATCGGCTATTATAGCGATATGATAAACAGATCTAACACTGAATCCCTGTCTTTGACCTTATGATCTTCGTGGTGGACCTTTTTAACATGCTCTTCCATATTACCCAATCCGTTGCTATTGTCATGATCTATGGTGTCATTGTCCAGTACGTCTCTCAACAGTACCATACTACATATCTTTAGGATCCTTGGGAAATTCGGTGTAGAATCTCAATACGTATAGTAGGGATTCCAGCGTCGGTATCGCGATACTGTTGGTGTTGCTGGACTGTCCACAGTGTGGATGGATTTGGCTGAAGTAAATGGGTTGCCCTGTCTATGAAGAACGCGTGGCACTTTCAGGAGGATGCAAGGCATGTCATAATATAGTATAACTAAGAAATATAATACATGATCGATCATAGTGCACTAACGAAGCTTCTTCCTGTTGTCACTGAAATACAACTTACAATGTGATGCGTACACTAGTGCAACTGTGTAGGTGGAGTATCTGATACTTCACTCCCTCGCAAATTATTGATCTATCATTCTGCTTCGCCTCGTCAGTTACTCACCAAAGCATGCTTCGCACTCATCGTTATCATCAGCTATCAACCCCGTTTGGGCACATTTTGAGGCTTTCAAGGACATAATTGAAAACCTTATACAGAATAAAAATACAGTGATTGGTAGCGCAAAAGCTCAATTAATTAAATCAAGAATTCACATATACTTCATTTCTTTGAATGATGCTTAGTTAGTTGACATTGACTGTTTCTATTGGACCCATGATAGTAAACTTACATACCTCTATGGATAGCGATGTCAAATCAATAAAGTAGAAACAAAAATACAATCAACAGTATACTAAAAGGGGACTTGTCTCCTGACAAATTTCAGGGCGAAGACTTTTAAAGCTGAGAAAGGGGCTGGAGAATCAAAGATCCAGACGACAGAGAGATCCATTAACCTTTGAACTATGATCTCCATATTCTTCATTGCCTCTCCTCAGAATTATAACTACTCTATTTTCCACCGTATCCAACCTAGTATCACCTACTATCTCGCGACCTTTACGACGACATGCGCTATACATTGCCGAGTTACTTGATCGCTAAACCTTAGATTTCAACATCCCCTAAAAGCTACGAAGAACACTCTGTCATGAAAAACACATCCAGTGCACAGTGATATCAGCGGGTGGTCAGCGTCAAAAGAGCTTTCCCCAATCAATCCCAATCTTCGACCCGAATGCGGAAATCTCACAGACCCTCCCGACTCTCATCCCACAGCCCAGGACTTTACAGCCAACTGACTGGTCTCTGTACCCAAGTTCTGTATCTACTCCGACACCAAGGGTCCCATAGCATGGGCCGCCCTTCAAGTCGACGAGGTGTGCAGTCGCATCAGCGCCCGCATAGACAGGAAAATAATCATTCAAGGTCTGGACTTCCAATCCAGCGCGGGCACCGAGGACGTCGATTGAAACCTTCTCAATCTCCCCTCCATTATCTTGCACCATATGCAGAATAGAGGCCACGGCGTCTGCACGATTAGTGCGGAACACGGCCCCGCCTGTTTCCAGACCAGCGTTGTAGTAGAAGACATGCATCCCGTCTTCTTCTGCTACATACATTTTCACGTCTGGAAGATGCCCCGTGTACGCGTCTCTGAAGGCTTTGAAGCCCTCATCCTGGAATCAGCTTAGCCAGAGGGTTGATCAAAAATCAAGATTGGAAGAAAGATAGAAAGATAGAACATACCGTAATAAGACCCTTGGCTTGGTACTGAGCCATGAAGCCAAAAGGGCTGGTAGTTGCAGGGCTAGGCATGATGTCACCAGGAACGTAGAAGGTAAGTGATATTATGATTGATGTATTTGATGATTGATAAACAAGCTGAGGAGCTGATTTTGCTTCTCTTACAGCCCGACGAAGCGGCCTCCTTTATATACACCATGTGTCCCCTCCCCCTCCTATCCCCATACCCACATCGAGCTCATCCCATGCTCAAAGTTGTTGCCCACTGTATCAGGTTCCAGAACATTCCGACGGAATAATCCAATTAACGGTTCGAAGCAAAGTGCCCAATTACATACTGAGAAGTCCACACCTACCACTGGCCGTTGGCAAAATCACTTGACCTCTACTACAGACCAATTCTTTGGTTACTAACACGCCAAGTTGCCAACGCAGTTGTGCTGACACTTGCATCAAGGTATGAAGACGATACCCTGCACAACACCAGTATACAGCCACGCCGCTATGACCTTTTTAGTATACCTTTCTCTGCTAATTCCATCACCAAGTGCTGCTGATCATTGACGGCTACATGGTGCCCACTTTTCTTCATTATCTCCTTGGTCGGTGTGTGCTCTTTGACAGATATGAAAGTCATGTATTATTTGCATATGACTGCTTGCTGCGCTGGATGAATTTCGGGAGAGAGTTATCGTGTGTATGGAGATCAGTGCATGAGTGTACTCCGTTTGGCTACAGATTTCTTCCTCTATAGAAAATAACTACTAGGCTTTACATCCAGTGGTTGCTCAGAATTCAAGGTTAATTTGTTCTATATAGTAAGACTTAGATAGGATGCGACTTTGCCAATGCCTGGGTAAATCTCGTTCCTGTAAGCTACCAGCGGGTTGCGACAGAATATTCTGCAAAGCATTTGAGGATGAGGGGAACCGTCTACCCCTAATGCACCATTTGTTACTTTGGCTAGCTGAGCAAGCCCTGGGTATTTGATGACGATGATTCCTTTTTTGTTTATGTGCAGCAGAACAACGACATGCAGGTGTTGGCAAAGAGTGCCCGTCAATGGTCAACAGTCAATATAGTTGCCTGTATGACCACCTGTTCTGCTTGCAATGACATGCATTACTGTAAGGACTCCATTGTACTGGATGGCTTCAGGTATACCTGCAGCGTAATGATTACGCTCTCGTACCCGGCACAGAAATTAAATTATCAGCCTCCCGTGTCTTCTCCTGTGACATACAAGTGGCTGTTACAGAACATAAGCTACTTCTTAATCTAGAGAAAGCATCAGATTACGAGCCACGGGTTGTGCATTAACTTGCCGTGTTAATTGTCCGAATGGCAGAAGCTTGCTGCCTCGGTGCAAACGAAGCCACTTCTATATTTTTTTTAAAAGGCTTTCACAGAGAAGGGATCAGAGAAAGCAACTCCTTCACATACCCAGCAGCCGTAGCGGCAGCATAAGGCTGCCATGCCTTGTTTTTGTGTGAATCCGCATAATCACAGATGCCACGAATAACCAAACAAGGGAAATTGTTAATCAAGCCCGCTGCTTCCATCTCAACACAGAGAATGCCCAAGTCAGCCTTCAAGATCTCCCTCTTCACGCTGTCCCGTATGACAACATTTGATGATCCGATCGTTCCGTAGTGAATCACGGGAGTTGAATCATCTCGAACTTCGCGTTCGACGGTTTGGCTTGAATCACAATCTCCACAGTCAGTGGCCCCAATATGTTCGTACTCTATCTGGAACAGTTGGTCCTTCGTGGCCCCCTGATAAACATAGTTTCGCTTCCTCATCTTCGGGAATCTCGCAAGCATTTCTTCCAAGAAGACAGGAATTCGACTGTCTACCCGGGCATGGAGGGCTTCCAGCCTCTGCACGGTAGACAGGAGAATATCTGGGGGTTTCTGTAGCATTCCTGTGCGCTCGAACTGGTTATAAGAATGGTCCTTCCCGCGATCGAATTGTACCACGCCTCCGAACCTATTTGATGGCCTGCTGACTACCACATCCCCGAGTCGGATGTCAATGTCTCTCGCAAGGTCCGGGATGCCACCACCAACGCCAATCAAGAGACTGAATTTAATCGATTGAAAATCGTTCGATAGTTGCGTTGCCACCGCTGCGGCACGATCATTGCCTGCTTCTGGCATTACTGCCACTACTATATTATGTGCTCCCATGCGTCCGAATGTATAGGTGTTCTTATCAATGCTGGATGGAAGATTCGGATGCTGCTCATCCATCATTCCTTCGACAGCTGCAAGCTCAACGCCCATGGGGCAGATGCATGCGATGGTGTAGTCATCATGAGTCAGGTCGGGAAGTGGTGGACTCATGCCGTGGCAGAAAGATATTACCGCGAATAAGGAATCAACTAGAATTTAAAAATGTGGCATTCCATGCAGGTAAGTGACCAGGTATAGTAGGGAGATTAAAGCATTATTCAATGTTTATCACTCTTCTGTTAGGATGTGTGTTCAGCCTCGCGTAAGTATCTCAGTCACTTGCACCTCACGAGCCCAGATGAGCTGGCAGAAGCAAAACAACAACCGTGGTCATCGCATACCGCCACACAGCCCCGCTCGCTCGATGCATGATGATAGCAGAACCCTAAGTAAATAGAGCCTTGGTGTGGTCAGGCTTACGCGTCAGGCGAAAAGAGCACTATTGGAGTCCAGGCTGCCCATACCTACAGACGGGAGAAATGACCCGCTTGATATGTTAGGTATTTGAAGTGCAGGAAGAGGTTGTCTCACGAATGATTACCCCCCCTTGCTGACGAAGATAAGCAGAGATTCAGAAGAGGCTGTTATTGGTGGAGTGGCAGAAGGCATAAGGAAAACAAATACCATCACCTTGATCGACCATTTCAAGGGACGATATATTTGTAGCATCCACCGGCAATGCGAACCTCTAGTTACTTATTTCAGTGTACGAGACTCAATCAACGTGATGGAACCGAAATTATGGTAGTTCACCATGACAATATCTGATATAGACACCTACAATACTTGGTTCTCTCCATTTCGTTCGTTAACCCTTATGGTTATCATATGCCTTGGGCAGCAACAAATTGCCTTCAGGCACTATTGCAGGCTTGGCATTTTCCTGCCTTAGCCATGAGACAGTTGCGCCTTAGGCATCGAGGAGCCAGGAGTAGCCATTATATTAGGCTAAAACGAGAAACTACAACGAGAACCCCTGAATGACAGCTGGATGGAGCATTACTATGGATCAAGTCCATCTTAGGATTATTGATTAGGCTAAGATAGAATCTAAGCTAACACACATTTCCGCTGTACAACAGCAGGAACAACTTGTCTAGTCTGAGTCATCAAACTCGACAACATCACCGAAGCAATCTGCAGTAAGAGTTCGACGGAGCGAGACCGCTTACAGGTTACCCTGACCAGCGCTGGAGGCGGGGCTGGTGCTGGCAGCATCAGCAGAGGGGAGGGTGTCGCTGCTGAGGTTGGAGAGGACGGTGGTGGAGCTGCCGGTGAGGTCACCGCCGTTGACGTTGGCAACGCAAGAGCGGCCAATGTAGGACTCGCAGGTGGAGGAGGCGCTGTCAGAGGAGAAGAGAGCACCCTCGAAGGTGTCGGACTCGAGGACGGTGTCGACGTTGGAGAAGTAGTTACCCTCAGCGAGGACGTAGCCACCGGAGCCGATCTCGAAAGCGTGGCCCGAGTTGTTCTCCCAGTAGTTGTTGAGGATGTGGAGGTAGGTGTTGTCCTGGACCTTGGGGGCACGGCCGGAGGTCTTGTACAGGTAGTTGCCCTTGAAGGTGACCTTGTCGCTAGCGCCGTCGAGGTACACGTTCCAGTAGTGGTGGCCGTCGCAAGTAGCAGAGTAGTCAGACTCGCCGTTGATGTAGTTGTTGGTGATGGAGACACGGTTGTCGGCCTCGGTACCGAGGACGTAGTGCTGGCGACCGATGCGGGCAGTCTGAAGCATTTGTTAGTTTGCAAAAGGAGGAAGTTCTGGAAAGGATAAGACATACGGTAACGTGGTCAATCCAGACCAAGTCGGCGTCGTCGAGAGTGATGGCGTCACCACCCCAGACGTACTCGGGGTTGATGTCGGTGACAGCAATGTTCCTGTTGGGATCCCATGGTTAGTTTGCGATGCGACAAGTGGATAAAAGTCCTGGACGATGCGTACTGGATGATGATGTTGGAGACACCGCTGACCATGCGGAGACCACGGCCCTTGATGACACCGCTGGTACCCTCACCGATCAGGGACTTGTTGGAGTTGACGGTGATACCGAGTTCACCAGCAGTGTTGCTATCCTTCGGTTAGCATCTTCTCTTCTCACATAGTCGAGTATGACTTCAGAAGGCAACTTACTAGGTGACGGTGGTGGTGGGAGCATCGGGCTCGTAGTTGGTGCACCAGTCGTCCTTGTTGATGGCCAGCTGGCAGCCGGAGGCAGTACCCCAGGGAGCACAGCCGGTGGTGGTGGTGGTACCCTCAGTGTCAGTGAAGTCGAAACTATCAAATTCAGACACCGGTTAGCGGGGAATTGCTTCATTCTCTGCCTTCGATTCGGAACTCACGTCTTCGACAGGACGATGACACGGGCCTCGTCGTCACCGAGGTAAGAGACCAGCTCATCGGTGGTGGTAGGGTAGACGGCAGTGGCATCACCACCACCAGTGGCGGAGGAAGCGAAACCCTCGGGAGTGCCAGAGACACCGACAGCAGCGGCGCGGGCAGCGAGGGCGGCAACAGCCGTAAGAGCAGCAGCGTACTTCATCCTGGAAGTTTTGCAAGTATAAAGAGTGACAAAGAGTAAGTACAATTAGGAACAAAAGAGAGAACAAGAGAAAGAATGACAAAGCTGTGTGTGTTGAGCCAGAGAGGAAAGGATCTGAGACGGTCGACGGGCTCGTCCCTTATATAGAGCGCTGTTGGTCTTCGATGCCATGGCTCATGGAAGTTTGGAACACTTCTCCTGATGGAGGTCTACGGAGCCAGTGGGTATGCCGGAGACTCCCTCTGCGACTCCCACGCAATCTCGACCAATATCGGCGTTATGACGGTGGATGTGGTGTGGGCCATTGGGTCGACAGGGAAGGAGAATAAACATCTGGGTCCCGGCGACGGCAATGTTGTGAG